TGGTTGAGACTCCACCTGCCGATGCAGGGGACACGGGTTCGTGCCCCGGTGCGGGAAGATCCCACATGCCGCAGACCAGCTGGGCCCACGAGCCATGGCTGCTGAGCCTGCGCGTCTGGAGCCTGTGCTCCACAACGGGAGAGGCCACAACAGTGAGAGGCCCGCATACCGCAAAAAAAAAAAAAAAAAAGAAAGAAAGTGAAACAACAACCCACAGAAAGGTAAAAAAAAGTTCATAAATCATATATCTAGAATATATAAATATCATATGTAGAATATATAAAGAACTATTATAACTCAATAATAAAAAGACAAATAACCCAATTAAAAACTGGACAAAGGATCTGAACAGTTCTCCAAAGAAGATATAGAAATGGCTAATATATATATATAAAGATGCTCAACACCATTAGTCATCAGGGAAACGCAAATCAAAACCACAATAAGATGCCATTTCACACCCACTTGTACGGCTATAATTAAAACAACAACGACAAAAAGACTGTCAAAAAGACAAGTGTTGAAGAGGATGTAGAGAAACTGGAGCCCTCATAGACTGCTGGTAGAAATGTAAAATGGTAAAACCGCTTTGGTAAACAGTCTGGCAGTTTCTCAAAAAGTTAAATATAGGGGGCTTCCCTGGTGGCACAGTGGTTGGGAATCTGCCTGCCAATGCAGGGGACAAGGGTTCGATTCCCGGTCCAGGAAGATCCCACATGCTTCGGAACAACTAAGTCCATGCACCACAACTACCGAGTCCGTGCGCCACAGCTACTGAAGCACATGTACCTAGAGCCCATGCTCTGCAACAAGAGAAGCTCCTGCTCGCTGCAACTGGAGAAAGCCCGCGCGCAGCAATGAAGACCCAACGCAGCCAAAAAAATAAAACAAAATAAAATAAATAAACATTCTTGTGCTAAAAAAAAAGTCAAATATAGAGTTAACATATATGATCTGGCAATTCCACTCCTTCGTACATATGCAAGAGAAATCAAAACATACATTCAAACAAAAACTTGTACATGAATGTTCATGGCAGCATTATACGTAATAGCAGAAACATTCCATTACATGGAAACAACCCAAACGTCCATCAACAGATAAAGGGTAAAATAAAAAGTGATGTATCTATAAAATGGCATACTACTTCAGAATAAAAAAGAAATAAGTATTAATATATGTATATGCTATGACACGATGAATCTTGAACACAGTTTACTAAGTAAAAGAAGCCAGTCACTAAAGATCACACATCATATGATTCCACTGATACAACATATCCAAAATAAGTAATTCTATAGAGATAAAAAGTAGGTCAATGGCTGCCTAAGGCTGGGGGACTGGGGTGAAATAGGGAACAGCTGCTAATGGATATGAGGTTTCTTTTTGGGGAGGTGTTCTAAATTTGATTGTGATGATAGCTGCACGGCTCTGTGAATATACTAAAAACCATTAAATTGTACACATTAAACAGATGAATTGTATGCATTTAAATTATATCTCAAGCTGTTATTAAATATAAATATAAATTGAATATATATAAGAAACATATAAGTATATATGTGTCGATACATACAAACTAAATTTGAAAAATAAGTTTTCATGGTTCATGAAAAAATAAAAAGGAATGAGGCCTGGTGAATTAGATACAAATTTGCCCAATGTCTTCCAAGGCAATAAAACTAACATTTGAAATTTTATTTTCTACTTGAGAGAAAAGAAATAATCACACCTGTCAGATTTCTATACATAAAATTCTAAGTTGACAGAGTTGTAAAATACAGTAAATGTGAATAATAAGTCAACCAAAGTTGTATTCCTCTAGGTTTGTTAGACAATGTTCTACATTACAGTGAATGCCACGGTCATGTTGTTTCTTATTCTCATGTCTTAGACAATTTTTCTTAACAAAGGTTTCTCATGAGCATACGACAACAATTTTACATCTGTTTTGTTAGGCAGAAAATGGCGGGGTATTTCCTCTTAGCTAAACACATGGGAATGGATCACCTAAAAGAGAAGGAATCTCAGAACTAAAATCACAAGAAGTCATGTGAAACAAACCAAAAACCAAGAGTTGATCAAGCAACTTTTAAAAGCTATTAGGATATTTTTAAAACTACATGTAATTAATAACTATAACAATTATTAAGAGAAGAGAAAGCTAGTTGGAAAACTCTCACCTGATAATAAAGTTATTATACCTACTTTAAAAGAAGATATCCTTGCAAGATAGAAGCAAAGATGCTATAAAAGTTGTTCAGTTTACAAATCCAGTAAAAGAGGTGAAGCAATAACGAGATCAATTGACATAGCTGACTGACAAACCTCTGACTGGTAAAGACAGATTCACAGAGCCAGCCAAATCACAGCTAAACTGTACAGCTGATGAGAAGAAAAAAAAAAAAGCCAACAGAATTGGAAACAGACTAAGGTGATCCAGTTTAAGAATCATCATTATACCAGAGGTCAAACAAGTATGTTAGAAGAGTAGAAACTTTACTCAGGAAAGGAATTAAAGACAATGTTCTGGATGCTTAAAAGAGTCAATTATAATGCAGCTATCTTAGAAGAATGTGAAAGGCCATTTACAGCAACTGTCACTGAAATGTCCCAGGGTATCTATGTATTTTAAGGATGAAACACAAAAACAGAAAGATACGTGTTTTTTGTTTACAAGAGGGAGAATATAAAGATGTTAGGATATTCTGTTCTATCACTTTATATTGATTGAATTGCCTGAGAAGAGTCATTCAGATGGATTCACAGACAGAAAGTCCTGGATGAAATGTGTATCAGACCCCTCAGAAAAAAATACGTAAAAACCTTGGAAGTGAAAGGTAGAACATGGTGAATGACCGGCCCAAGGTCCTAATTCTGCCAGAGGTTCCACCAAAGAAATTTTTTGACCACCAGCAGGAA